CGAGTCCAGACAACCAGTGGTTGATATAATGAGCAACGATCCTCCGGATCTGACCACCTGATCACAGAATGCAAGCAAGTAAGGACGCTTGAAATCCGTTGATTGAGCAATTTGTACTGGCAGAGGAAGAAAACTATCTATGGTAATTATTAACAGGGTTGTCAAGGTTATTGTGTATCTTAACTTACATGCCATTGTACCCGAAATATTGAACGACCGCCTCCGTGGTCTAGTGGATTGAGCGTCTGCCCGGAGAGCAGAAGGTCGGTGGTTCGATCCGCAACCGAGTCATACTTAAAGATGTTAAAAGATTGTACTTGTTGTTACACTGCTTGGCGCTCAGCATTGAGGGGATAAAACAAGGACTGGTCGGTTCGGCGTACGCTGTGTCGGGTCTCCATGTTAAACTGTGGCATGGTATCTCATCCAGCTAGCCAGAAATGGGATTCACACATTGTATCCATGAGGGAAATCGAACCGGGTCATGGGCGTGACGCGCGAACGCTTTAACCACTAGGCTACCCCACTGCCTAACGTAGGGAAAATATTGTGAATTTGATGAATGAAAAGGAATATGTACATATTATTTCATCAATGGTCGTTGAATTATGATTATCAATGCTATATTTAACAGAAACAGTGGTTCTAAATGTAGGTGAAACAAAGTATCTGGATAAATCATGTGTATAATAGAACACGTCATCGCCACATAAATAATCACTCTCCATTATAGGCCTCAATTTCATTAGGTGTAAAGGCAAACTACTGCTTCCGTTATATATGTTGGCTTAATGTGGAAGGAAAGATGCAGGCCTAAGACGTTAACCGAACTGGTAAAACCAACGAGCAGGATATGGCAAGCACAGGATCATAATCTGTCTTTCTAACCTAGGATCACAGGATCCTGACACTTCTAAGGGACGTAACACTGCACATCGAATTGTGACGCCTTAGACGACCGAGCAACCCGTATCCCAATATTTCTAACAAGAAATACTGGTCCTTAATTCTCAAGGGTTTGTTTGGTTTTGACTGAATGAGTGCGCCATTTTGGTTTCTATAAAAAAATGGAGTCTGTAAAATGAAGTGAAAGTGACTTAACCAGGACATTTTTTACCAATCGCCTGTCACATTCTGGGACTTAGTCATGTCTCCTAATGTAGCTAACCCATGCAGTTTGTTCATTTTGTCTTTAAAAGAGTTAAAATTGTTTCGGGGAAATATATCTCATTTCGCTAAAGTTAACCAATCTATATTTTGTCAGAATAAACTAAGCATTAAGCGATTATCTCCTTCAGTTATAGGCATATTATATAGCTTTATCACGCACTGACCTTGCAATGCTGTACCAGTGATGGACATCATGAGCATCGATCCACGCTATTGGTACACGATGACATGCATCAACCAAGTCAGCGAGCCTAGCCACCGGATCCCGTAAAGGGCAACTAACAGGAACGGGTGGTCAGGCTCGCCCTCTCGCTGACTTGGTTGATGATGCATGTGATCGTATTCAAATTGCGTGGATCGATGCTCATGATGTCAATCACTGGATTGTCTGGTCCAGACTTGATTATTTACAGACCGCCGTCATGTAGCTGGAATATTGCCGAGTGTGTCGTGAAACAAAAATAAATGAAAATAACATAGTGTCTGACTCAAGCTGTAAGCTGCCGCGTGTTTGGAGGGTGAGTGATTATCTCCCTTACCCAAATAGCTCTATTGCGCACCACCTTTGAAGTGTAAGGTGCACTCATTCTTTCTCCCTTCACACTGCTATTGCAACGTATTGTTCAACACGATTAATTACCAGACCTCTATAAAGTATGACCTTTTCAATAAACAACACATGTAAAACAACAGGTTTGATATGAGACGTTTGTAATTACTTGTCTTCATAATCATATGTATGGTGCTTGCTGTGCTTAGTTGAGCACAGTATTGTTTCAAGTAATTCACTGTATGTAATGCATGATTCATACCGTGTCATGCGGGGGTTTACGGTTGTGCATGGTTTATTGCTTTGACAGTTTTAACTTCCGTCAGAGATTATACACCCGCAAATGATCTTTGCTTCTGGATACATAGGAAATTTACGGCCAGGTGTGCAGTTGGCAATTATTTTCCTAAAATATAATACGGCTGCATGATATATTCACGATGGTTGGGTTGAACATAGTAACATTCTTCAAATCTGAACCAGAAGTAATCACAACACAGACCCAGTTAACCAAACGGTACCGTGAGTGAGGGATTTGGGTTTAATGCCGCTTTGAATAGTATTCCACGTATATCACGGCGTGTCAGCCTTATGTGGGAGGAAAGCCCGAAGTAAGCATGGGTATGATGCTGACAAATCCTGAAACATAACCTGGGCGAACCGGAATTCGAACATAGGTTTATGACGTGTCCAAGGATCACAACTCTGCATAGAGACCTATGAGGTATTTTTTGTTTAAAATATGTAAGATTATTCTCAATATTTATAGAAGACTTGACCAACCTGTATGTTCTTAAATTGCTATTGGATATACGAGAATTCCTGAATGAGTGCTTGAACATATTTTGACATTTGGACCGAAGTTTCTTCACAGTGGATTCATCACGTTTATTTGTGTTTACAATTTCAAAAGTTTGATTTGTTTAAACCATCTAACATTTAGACCAGAAAGATTGATATTTGCTGTCAAAGGATGTTTAAGAATGACATTTGTTGTATTCGGTGTTCGAAATAGACATCGGCCCTTAGGCCCGAGGCCCGCAGATTTCTTCTCGGGCTGATAGTTTTATATTTCAGCGGGCCCATACGGCCTGTAGTTTATTTTAAGCTGTAAAAATGGTATATGAATCATGATACTGAGACTGCTTGGTGAAACAGGGCCCAACTTCAAGGTACGCTTGTTAACTCTTTCAACACAGCAGACGTCAAAATATTAGTAGTTTCATGAACCTACCTGTCATGTTTTTCTTTTATCGAAGTTCCACATTTTAAATATAGGTAGCGATGTCCTGCTTAAAACGTTCAAAATAACACGACATAACAACAAACTTTCGCCTAAATCTTTCGTCTAAATAACGCAGGGGCGGTCGGGTAGCCTAGTGGTTAAAGCGTTCGCTCGTCACGCCGAAGACGCGGGTTCGATTCCCGACATGGGTACAATGTGTGAAGCCCATTTCTCGTGTCCCCCGCCGTGATTTTGCTGGAATATTACTAAAAGCGGCGTAAAACCATACTCACTCACTCTCTCACTAAATAACGCACATGATGATGGTATCCATTGCTGTTACTTGATTGGCTGCCTTATGTCATGTGCTTGATTTTGGCCAATCACGATCCTTATATGTTTAGATTACGGCAAAAACGTTATAAGAAACCAATTTGTATACAATAAAATAACATGTTACAGCTACGAACATACTCCTGGTGAGGTCACTGTAATATTATTGATGCTCAGAGCTTTCTAACGATATCAAACATCGAACGAATCTTCGCACGTGTTATTTATACAAATCCTCGAAAACGGAGTTATATCCCGGTATTTTCTCAACTCAGTGGGGTAAAGCCATTATTATCGGGAAACATGTGACAGATTGTAATTTAAATTCTTTTTATCGTCATTTTCCGATTACTTCAACAAGGAAAATAAAACAGAAAGAAGTTAGTGTACAGCTCCATTACGAAATCTTAAAACTGTCGAAAATCGCCATAATTTTCGCTTTCTTGGTGCTTAATATGAGCGTTATGAATGTGTTAGCTTAATTTTGTATTAAAAACGAACTTACTTACGTCATCAATGCATTATTTAAATAGTGTGATAAACACAACTTTCAGATTAGACCTTTCAAATGTTGCATGACATGTAGTAGCAAAGATGTTTTACAAACTGATTGTTTCCTTGATAAATGTAGGCTCCATCTCTCACCACAGAGTCTCTGGTGTGATCGCAGTACAAGCGTCTGGTTAACTGGTTGCGTTTTGTACTTTATTGCAAGAATGTTTCCCTGCTTCGGCTAAAATGTTTGGGCCTTCAGTTTTTTGCACGGGTCCAGCACTTTTTGAACTGTGCTCGCCCTGAAGGCTCTCAGGTTAGTCTTCTGAGTTTCAGACTCTGGTTTTGTTATCAACACAGGACTTTTTTCTATATTATTAATTATTGGTACAAATAGTGGGTACATATCAAGTTCTGCCTGACAGGCCAAGTTATGTGTTTTCTTGCTTACTCCTAGTAATGATTACAAAACTGAAGCTGTAGTCTTGCTGGAAGAAGTGTATAAATAATTTTAACATTGTAAGGCCCCACCCCAAACCTCACAATTGTATTTCATTATTGGTTCTCTAAGGGTTTAAACAATATTATTGCTACCTTTACCGGGATATCATATCAAAAACTGAAGTTTTAAATCTATGGTAAGCACTCGCGATCGTGGCTTTCCGAGTGAGTGACTTTTGAACCTTCCATTTTTATGAAGTTGTGTACATGGATATGTGTATCCGTATGGTTTTCCTTGTGCTGACCATTTACAGACAATGTTGCTTTTATTGTGCGTTCAAAAGATAACTATATTAATAAAAAAACAATTTGAACTTAAAACAAATCCTCTCCTTCCATTGCTAATAAGTCCTTCCTCTGCACCTGCCATTATATGGCGATAAAAATGCACTGCAGCAATCTCTACTTGTATATTAATATCTTTACTTAAATCAAGCAGAACATTTCACGAATAATTAAAGCAAAAAAAACCAATTCCATAATCATAAAAATATCTTGTACGATTACAACTATATCATAAGCGTGAGTTTGTGAATCACTGTCGAATTATAAGAACTTTAACCGATGGGATTCTGCCGAAAGCATTGGAAGAATTTTAAATCATAACACCTTAAGTGTTCCCGATTGCTTTTGAAGTAAGAATAAATTGTCGTTGTGTAAATAATATTGGGTTAAGTTTCAGATCACAGGTAGCAACAGGTAAAATGATCACATCAATATAAAACTTACCTTGGCAAATGAACGCAAAACATATTGCTCTGAGAACCTGGCTTGATACTGTATCCATTGTTTGCTACTGACTATATGAAGCTGCCTCAAGGCCTGGTGAGTAACATCTGTTTCTGGGAAGTGTACTGAAAGGTTTCAAATCAGGAAACTTCTACTCAGTCCATGTATTGTTGACCCGTGTCCAAACATTGCAGTGTCACTCTTATCTTAAACCAAACAGTGATGATTAATCATCTAATGAACTATCCAAATGGTCCTGCTTCCAAACCCCCATAAATACAGATGCAGTTGAGGGCACATTTATGCATGTCCTCCTATATTGGAGAAAACCGTACGGAAACGAGGCTGTGACGTCACTTTGGCATGACCATAAATATCAATATACACCAGACGCCCGGCACAGCAAACAAACGTCTAGGGTAAACTGCGGACTCCTGACATTGTACATGCTAGTGTTCTCCGGCTAAGCCGCTGCGCTGGTACCAATAACCACGCGAGACGGTTTAGGAGAGACTACACAGCCCCTCAGGTAGCCTGTAACATCAAGATACAATCTTATTCTTACTACACTCAGTCTCCCGCGATCTTGACGGAGCTGTGACAACTTAATGGTACCATGTTAAGACCGCTATTTACATCAAATTAGTGCTACGTTTTACTTTTGTTTCTAACAAGTTACAAATGACATTTCAAAATAAATCGTTACTGCAACAAGGCGACCCTTCTGTTGGGTCCGCTGGTAGCATATGATGTCGTTTCTGCATGAACCTAAATGTGTCTAGTTTACAAGAATAATGGCATGTATATAATGGCATTGACTTATATGTGTAAGTGCTTGTCAAGGTTGGATCGTTGGATTGGAGGGTTACTCTAGCTGGGCTACATTAATTGGTGTGTTCAGAGAGGCCATATTGATCCGACACTATGATGTGGAGCTCCATCAAACTACAATTGATATGATGGATGCTTTCGTGAAAAAAACCAATCCCACCAATCCCTCGTGTTTGTTTGGCTTGATAGTTCAAGCTGCTGCAGTCATAAAGTTAGGTTAATATCCTTGCTGTTTCTGTCTGAACACTTGTCTCTGATTTTCTGATTTTGATGTTGAATTATTGGGACGTGTCTGTATGTTTGCGTGTGGCAGTGGTGGAGTGTGGTTGTGCGATGCAGTTGTCGTGTACATATGTACATCTGTGCCTGAGAGCGTGCGTTTGCGTTTAGGCGTGTGGTTTGCGTTTAGGCGTTGAGGCGTGTGGTTTGCGTTTAGGCGTGTAGTTTGCGTTTAGGCGTGTAGTTTGCGTTTAGGCGTGTGGTTTGCGTTTAGGCGTGTGGTTTGCGTTTAGGCGTTTAGGCGTTTAGGCGTGTGGTTTGCGTTTAGGCGTGTGGTTTGCGTTTAGGCGTTTAGGCGTGTGGTTTGCGTTTAGGCGTGTGGTTTGCGTTTGGGCATGTGGTTTGCGTTTAGTCGTGTAGTTTGCGTTTAGGCGTGTGGTACACAGATCTGGTTGCATGGAATGTGATCGTGCACTGAAACGTTGTGTTTTTGTGATCAACTTATACTTAAAAAAATATATTGTGTTATTATGCGTAATTGTATATTATATATATACGTGCGGTCGTACGCGCGTGTGTTGATTTGTTATTATTTGTGTGTGATCAACTTATACTTAAAAAAATATATTGTGTTATTCGTAATCGTATATGATATATATACGTGCGGTCGTACGCGCGTGTGTTGATTTGTTATTATTTACTGGGACTCAACATTACGTTTGCTTGTTTATGTTTATTTGTTGTTTAACGCCGCACTCAGCATTATTCCAGCTATATGACGACATCTGTAAATAATCGAGTCTGGACCAGACAATCCAGTGATTAACATCATGAGCATCGATATACGCAACTAGGATACGATGACATGCATCAGCCAAGTCAACGAGCCTGACCACCCGATCCCGTTAGTCGCCTTTTACGACAAGCATAGTCGCCTTTTACAGCAAGCATATACACTGTAACATAATCCTATTGACGCAGAGGTGTGAGCCTTGGAATTCGCTGTGTAGAGTTACGCCCCTTAACCGTGCCTGGATAGAAACCAAGACTGTTGCGGTATTTTAATATTCCTGGTCATGAATGACAGTTCATCTTGGGTTCGATCAGGACTGTGTCAGGATAATTGAATGATCATATTTTCCTGAAGACAAATCATATATGTGTAAAAAATGAAAGTGAAAATAGATAATGATAACATAGTACAGTAAACTACGGTTATAACGAACACGCTTATAACGAAGTTACGGATATAACGAACTTACTTTTTGGGTCCCGACTATTTGCTGTAGTTATGCTGTATATATGCTTATAACGAACTACGGTTATAACGAACTAAAATTACTAGTTCCTTTGAGTTCGTTGTAACCGTACTGTACTGTATAAAATATATTGGAAACGAGGGGAGGTGAAAAGGTTATTACACGTATGGAGCGACGTGCATCCACGCATGTATGTATGGCTGCTTGTACTCGTCCGGACTAATGCCGGTTATATAGTGTTAGCCCACTGACACAACATGACATCCCCACTCAGACACAGTATACAGACTCTAAGCCGACCAGTCCTTGTTTTTCCACCTTAATGCCGAGCGCAAGGCAGAGTAACACCAACCATATTTTTGGTAAGACACGTAAGGGTCATATCCCCGACCTTCTGCTCTATCCACCAAACCACGGAGTTGAATGAGTGAGAGAACATTAAACGTCGCATCGGCATTATTTCAGCCATATAGCGACGAAATACATTGTTCTAGAAGCATGTTTTAGTCATAATGGACGTTAAACATACGTATTTCACATCTGTGGGCACGGGTGGCCCAGTGGTGGCCCAGTGGTGGCCCAGGCGCCGCAAATCGTTCAAATCCGTGATTGTGGTTTCGAATCCCGGTAATGATTCTAGGTTTGTCAGCACAATCATGAGTTTCATCAAAGTGTAAACTTTTGAGACCTGAATCACTCCCACAGTAAGCTGACACACCGTGATATAACTGTAATACTGTGCAAAGCGACGTTAAACCCAACTCACTTACTTATTGCACATCTGAACGCTTGATGCCCGGTGACATTGCAAACAGGTTGGTTTGTTGTTCAACGCCGCACTCAGCAATATTCCAGCTATATGACGGCGGTCTGTAAATAATCGAGTCTGGACCAGACAATCCAGTGATCAATATTATGAGCATCGATCCTCGCAATTTGGATCGATGACATGCATCAACCAAGTCAGCGAGCCTGACCACCCGATCCCATTAGTCGCCTTTTACAACAAGCATAGTCACCCCTTACGGCATGCATGGGTTGCTGAAGACCTATTCTACCCCGGAATTTCACGGGTCCATTGCATTGTGGCATTGCAAACAAGACTACGGTGGACACGTGACTGATATGAAGACATTACACAGGAAATAACGATGTCCGTAACAGTAAAACCTCATACCAGGTCTTACTGGGAAACAGTAAATCTTCCCAAGAGGTTATTACGAGATAGGAAGATGCCTAACATGAAGACATTACACAGAAAATAACGATGTCTACCATGTCCGCTGTCGGAAGCTCTGTCTGGCACCTCCTGTCCAAGGATGAAATGAGAGTACGAATCGCACTGTAGTGCAAACTAGTGTCTGTGTCCGGGGTTCCAGATGACGCTGTCGTACACGGCGAACCAATTTGTCCCATATTTGTGGCTTCAAATCTGGCGATTTGGATGTATAGGAGAAAACACGCCTTCGAAGTTTAGGTTGAAAAGGTAAACACGGGGGAGAAGGATATACCGACTCCCGAGTGTGTACATTTACCGCCAGAACCGAGGGGTTGTGTATTCTCAGGCTTATAAACCGTCAAAAGAGCTAGTTGAAACAAAAATCTAATTTACATTTGGCGCGTTATAACGAAACAATTGTAAAGCCTGTTCATGTATACGACTGTTTGCGAAAGCAGTCGCTGCACGAGAAATTGTTGAAATGCAAAACCGCGAACCAAAACCTAGGAATGTTTTGTCAAACTTATGAACCTTCTAAATGCAAGAAATACCAGAATAAAATAAGAAAACACCGGAATACCTTTTAGTGAAACAATAGGCGGTATAAAGGGAATTCGATCAAAGTGTGCGAGAGAAAGACAACGTGCAGCATGCAGCACAAACTGAAGTCATGACAAGTAAAACTGAACAACTTTTCATCATCTGCCCTGGTGGCTCACTGGGAAACGGTGGGTTACAAAACTAAACACGATATGTGAGGTTGCAGGGTCGAACCCGTCATCTCTAATGGAAACTTTCATTTCCTGTCTTCGAGTGTAGAACATTTGTCGTTTGAAACACAAAGTACCAATTTCATCTAGGAAACAGTAAAATCTCATACCAGGTCTTACCAATTGAAAGTAAAACTTCCCAAGAGGTTATTACGAGAACGGAAGATGCCTACACTTCAATAAGTGGCAGTAGGTTTATAAATATGGATCTTGTGCGTAACACATCCTAAGTGTCAGTGTGATGTAACAGTGGACCTTGAAGTTCAAACACGGTTTTCACTTACTGTACATTGTATTACATTCAGACAGACGGCCAACGAGACAGCTTAATATATTGTATTTCTTTGTAATTAATGTGTACATCAGTTGTCCTGAGTAATCCAAGTAGTTTCCTACACCTCGACATACCGGACCCGTGAAGATCCGGGGTAGAATAGGTCTTCAGCAACCCATGATTGCCGTAAAAGGCGACTATGCTTGTCGTAAAAGGCGACTAACGGGATCGGGTGGTCAGGCTCGCTGACTTGGTTGATGCATGTCATTGGTCACAATTGCGTGGATCGATGCGCATGATGTCAATCACTGGGTTGTCTGGTCCAGACTCAATTATTTACAGACCGCCGTCATATAGCTGGAATATTGCTGAGTGCGGAGTTAAACAACAAACCAAACCAACCAACCAACTCGCACAAATTGATGTGCAGAGGGGCGTTCCCGAGGCATGCAAGAACCCTATGAACGTGTGTTCGAATTGCCAGTGCGTCCTGAGAATGTTTCGTGTGTTGGACCTACGTCACTTCCGTCTTTCCTCCCACATCAAGCCATAATGACATGCCATAAGTGAAATACTGTTCAGAGCGGCGTTAAACAATTCTCACTCACGAATTTCGCAACAATGTTTCTGCGTATATTTGAATCACATATACTGAATCCGAGTTAATTCATCAAACTTCAGTTAACCGACGACCCTTTAACTCACAGACTTATTTCCGTTACAGACGTATGTATGCACATTTGTAATTGTCGTGACTGAGTTCGACTCTGACTGAGTTGGATCACTGATAATTACTGATGACACCAGGTGTTCACGAAAAGTGTAACCATGTCCTGCCTGTAACACATGCGGTATTGAA